ACAAGAGACTAAACAGGCAGCTTCTGTCTGGAGGTGAGATGGGAAGGCAGAGAGGGTTAGGAGCTGGTTGAATGGACATGGGGAGTCAGGGGTGGAAAGGAGAAGTGTGCTGTCACAGTATGGGGAGAGCAATTAGGGTCACATAACAATGTATGTACAAATTTTTGTATGGGAAAAAAAATAAACCATGCAGTGTACCCTTGTTCCATTAAAAAAAATAATAATAATGTAATTAGCTGTTGTCAGGTGCTGTTGAGTAGATTTCTGACTTACAGCGACCCTATGTGACAGAGTAGAACTGCCTCATAGGATTATCTAGGCTGTAATCTTTACAGGAGCAGATCCTCAAGTCTTTTCTCCCATGAAGCAGCTGGTGGGTTCGAACCTCTGATCTTTTGGTTAGGAGCTGAGCACTTAACCATTGTACCACCAGGGCTCCTTAATGTAATTAGTAAGATCTTTTATTTGACAGTCAGTTAAAATAAGAAATTGATCAAAAATTAGGGAAAAGTGGAATACTTGGACCTTGCTTTATAAACAGGGCATTGTATCTTAGACAAATATCCATATACTGAGTCATATTGTCTAAACCACTCATGGCTCGTTTCAAAAACCATGAAGATAAAAGCATCCCACTTGCCACTACCTGTATGGATGCGGCTGTGTCTTTCCAGTTGGCTCGGTTTGGCAAATGCCTTCTCACAAGTGTCACACTTAAACACTCTCGGCTTCTGGGAACTCAGAGAAGGGCCGGCCTGGTGCGTCTGCATGTGCTCCTGTTGAAGACAACGCACAACGGGAATACATGTTGTGAGACGTTGCAGGATAGGATACATGTGAAACAGGAGAGGAAAGCAAACCACCCTAAAAAGTCAAGGTGGTAGAACGGGCAAACTCAGAAGGCCACTCTCTGGTTTGTGTTTTTGTCAGGTTGTTAGGATGATTAAATGAAACCACATATTAAGCATGGAAATACACCCACTCCTCACTTACTGACATGGTTATGTTCCAAAGACCAGGTCATTATGCGAAAATTGGCATTATGCAAAAATGGAAGATGACCACATCAGATCACAAAAATGGAGGATGACTACATCATTATACAACTTCCCAATTACATCATTACATAACTGTCAAATTATATAACTGCCAAATTACATCATTATATAACTGCCCAATTACATCATTACATAACTGCCAAACTACATCATTACATAACTATCAAATTACATCATTACATAACTGCCAAATTACATAATTACATAACTGCCAAACTACATCATTACATAACTGCCAAAACACTGAGAATCATGGCCCAGCCAAGCTGACACATAACCTTAACCATCACAGCCAGTGTTACTCTTGCCTAGCACCTAGGTGTTCATTACTGCCAGACACAGTTGTTAATGTACAAAGTAGTCAGATAGTAGATCTTTTACTATTGTCATAAATGTGAAATGTCAGATAACGAGATAGTTCATAAGTGAGGAGTAGGAATAGCATAAGAAGAGCCCATGTAAGCCTCCTTGTAGGCTCCTGAAGAGGGTAGTCCCCTTGTTTTACAGATGAAATAAACATCACTCTCCCAATCTGAGGATGCTGAGGTTTGGTCAAGGTCATCAATTAAAGATGAAGCCAGGATTCAAACTTAGATCTCTCTGATGAACCTCCATCATGTCACCCCCCACCAATGAGCACCATGGCTACCTCTGATGTACTGTAATCCTTGAAAACACATTATAAGATTGTTGAAAAGACAAACTTGTGGAAATGAAGAACAGGTTAGTGGTTACTAGTGGTAGGAAACGGGTGGGGAGGTTAGGAGTGTGTGTGTCTATAAAGAGAGGCAACAAGGGGGCCCATTGCTGCAGTGATGAGCTGTTCCATACACTGACTGCAGCAATGTCAACATCACTGTGATGCTGTTTTGCAAGGTGTGACCTTGGAGAAAACTGGGCAAAGGTAACATGGGATCTCTCTGTACAATTTCTTTCAACTGCATGTGAATCTACAATAATCTCAAAATAAAACATTCCACTGGTCTGTATATTGGTCCGTAGTTTTCATTCTTTGTACTATTTCTGCGTGTTTGGAATCAAGGTAATATCATAAACTGAATTGGGAAGTGTTCCCGCTTCTATTTTCAGAAAAAGATGATGCAGAATTGGTGTTAATTCTTCTTTAAATGTTTGGTAGAATTCTCCAATGACATCATGTGGGCCTAGAGCTTTCTTTGGGAGTTTACAAATTTCAGATTTGACGGCCTCAGCAGTACTAGGACTGTTCAAGTTTCCCCACTATTAATACACATTCTACCATGTGGACATGCCATAGTTTACTCAGCCACTCTCCTATGTGCGGCATAGGGCTGTTTCCAGTGTTTTGTAATTACACAGAGCACGCAATGAATAATCTTGTGCATACCTGCTGTTGTCCTGTTAAAGGTGGGTCTTTGGAGTAGACCCCTAGGTAAGTGCCTGTCTAGCTGTGTTGGGTATTGCCCATTCCCCTACAGAAAGCCACACCTGTACACTTTCTCACCAGCAATTTTGAGAGTGCCTACATACCAGCCTCGCCAATATCTGATGGCAGATTTTTGCATATTTTGCCAGTCATACAGGTGAGAAACAGTCCCTCAGTGTGACTTCAACGTCCACTAAAAACGCGTTCTGACTTGCACATGAAAATTCCACCTATTAATCAGTGTATCACAATACACCTGCTAAAACCCAAACAACTTAGTGAGGTCATTTCTATTCCTTGACCTTTTCCTCAAGCAGTGGAGGAGCTTATCATTCGGTATGAAGCAGAAAGCAGCCCAGGAAGGCGGTTACCTTGAGGTGCGTGGCACGTTTGAAGGCCTTGCTGCAGAGCCGGCAGGCGTGGATGCGCTCGCGGCCGTGAACCTCCTTGCTGTGGTGCAGCAGCATGGCAGCTGATGAGAAGGCGCGGCTGCACTCCAGGCACTGGTGCGCCCGGCCCTCCTTTTCAGGTGGGCTCCCTTTGGCAAGGTTTGGAGAGACGTCAGTCACCTGGAGTGAAGAGGGAATCCCGTGACTTCACACTCACCAGCACAGCTGTGTGCCCCAGACGGTCACAGTCACACCCGTGTACCCATAGATGGTCACATCCCCTTTGCTAGGCCAGCTGAGCTTGTGAACCAGCAGACAGCCAAAGCCAGAAAGCACATACGTTCACCTGGTCCACAGTGCAGATGTTTTATAATCTTGTTCAAATTTCAGCCAGTGACACTCCAACGTTACATTAGATCATGATGCAGCACGGCTAAAATGTAGTGATGGAAGTCTACTGACTGAGGCATGGTTTAGAGAATGGAACAGTGGTTAATGAGTGGGTCTGGAGGTGCAGATTCCAGCTCCCACACCGACGGCCTTGGCCACTTTGGCTACATGCATAACCACGTGCACGTCCTTATGTGAGCCAGTGACAGTACCTCCACCGGGGGGGCAGGGCAGAGCGTGTGGGGAAAAACCAGGTGCAGAGAGCAGGAACCAGTACACGGCAAGTGTTTGGCAAACGCTAACTGGTATTATCACTAGTTTTAGCTCAGTCAAGGATAAATGATATTGCGAAAAATGCTACTGCTTTGGCTGAAGATCTTTCTTAGCAAACTGTACTATAAATAATACAAAATACACTTTCCCCAAATTGTAGGTTATAACTAATTAGTAGGTTTTCAAATCATTTTAATGGGATGCCACCATCACTTTAAAAAGAATAAACAAACTAGGAGAGGTTTATTATGTGGCTTTTATAAATAATACAGCTCAGTTTTGCAGATGAAAATTTGTACGTAGATGACTTAACGAAATAAATCAAACAATTATGAAGAAAACTGATGGGATTTATCAATATTTAACTTTAAAAAGTATTTTATCATAGGATGTACAGAAATAGATGAGCATTACAGAAAAATACTTCTAAAAACTTCTACAAGGTGCTCTTATGTTATTACGTGATGCTATCTATGTCGTAATAAAAAAAGAATCTATATGAGAAAAAAAGTAGAAAAGGCCAGCAATGATAAAACAAATACATCACCTGTAATACAAGTATTATTCTGTGACATTGATTCAGGTGTGTGTCTACATGTGGGTATCTGTGTATGTAAAGAAAAGAAACAACTTACACACACACACACACACACACACACGTGTTCAGGGTCACTGCATAAAATATATTTCTTTTGAGTCAAAAAAGTTTGAAAAACACTGGAATAAATGATACTTAAGTCTATTTTGTAACTGCAGATAAAGAAATCACATGATTAAACAAATGATCTACCTGATGAAGATCACTAATTACAACGAGAATCTGTAGTTAATGACGCTGTCTAGTATTCTTCATTAACACACTTAAATAGTTATCAGTAGTCACAGTAACTAAATATACACACAAAATTGTTTCTAAATCAAACATTTCATTAATCAGAAGTGAGAAGTCAATACCTGGTCCACATCACTCAAAGAAAGACAAACCAAACAAGCACAGTTCACGTAAGAACTACTTGTACACAACGTTTTCCAGCATAATGGAGGATCAGTAGACCACAGCTTCAGAAACAGGGCTGCTGATTTCATGGGCGTTTACAACTTTTGTGGAGAAAAATCTCCAGTGTTCTGCTCAATTTCCTAACTATGTGCATATGACAATCTGAAAAATGAAGCAAACTAGATCTTTGTGGAAATTTACTAAAATCATGCATGCCAGAAAGGAAACGGGAAACAGGCTACAGGGCGTGTGCGTGAAGGTTTTCAGTCTGGGACGTGAGCTCTGCCAGAGTGAGGGGTCTGGCTTCCCGCCTCAGTTTCCTCGATTATTTGTGTCTGATAGTTCCTGCTCACTGACCTCCTTGGCAGATGTGGACCTCCAGTGTGGCAGGGGTAGGGTGTGGGGACCCTAAAGCTGTTCTGAATCGGCGGTGGGGGGCAGGATAGAAGAGGCCACCACTCCACCACACAGCCTTGAGCCACACTACAAGAGGCCTGGGGAGATGCAGGATCATTTCACACCACACACCAGGGCTGGCGGTGGCAGGACTCTGTGCACTTTTATTAACCTAACGTGAGCAGACACTATAAAGAGATGCTGCCCATAAGTGCCTGTGGGCACATAAACACCATCTGATGCCAGAACACTTGGAATCTAACCACTTAGAAAAAGTCGTCTCAACTAACAGGAAAACCAGGCATAAAGACTGCAAAAATACACTGTCACAGTCAGGCAGAAATGGGTCAAACAGACCTAGTTCTGTCTCTACTGGCGGTGCATCTGTGAGAAGGTTCTGTGCTGTGACCTTCAAAACTTACTTTCCTTGTGAGTAAAGCGCCAACAGCCATGCCCACTCCTCACGGGCTTGTGGGGCAGGTTACACTAAATAACATATGCACGTGCCAAGGAAAGGGCCTGGCCTCAGGTACCTGGCCACCAGGTGTCTGGTCTTGACCCACATAAAAAATAACGTCAGCATTCAGCGAAAGAAGAAAAGACTAGAATTGCTGAGATGGCTGCAGGGCAGAGGAAGCACGTGAGGCGTCCGCTGGGGGAAGCCTGGTCACGGCACATCTTGAAGCCGTGGGCAGGCTCTGGGCTCCCAGTCCTGCATCGTGAAGGCAGGCAAGTGAAGGGTGTCAGCAGCCCCGCCATGAGACATTTCTATACTGTGTGTGAATCCCACAGTGCCTACATGGACTTTTCAGATGAACCATGAAGACGAAGATGAAAACAAAAACAAAACCACTCTGCTCCAGTGAGAAGACTAGAGGACTAACTGCAGGAACTGCCCAGTACCTGGTCACTGCCCTAGCTGGAGCCAACCACATGGCAGCAGTGTGCTGAGTGCGCGTGTACTGCGCACCACC